TAGTGGGCTAATCCCATTTTTTTCCTATATATATATATATATAAAATGTGCTTTTCTTATTTTTATTTTTAAAAAATGAGCTGGACTCGGGCGAGTAACTCAGACTCGCCTGAGCAAATCGCCTCGGCGAGGGCCCGAGTACCTTGGTTGAGTCGATTTTTTGAACATTGTGTTTAATTATTTTATTCATGCTTAATCTAGATAGCTATTAATTCTCTTTTAGAGATGAAATTATATTTAGATACTTAAGAGAGCTTGTGCTTTTTATCAGAGATATGGAAAGTGCATTTTCCTCATAAGTTGGTACTTTTGTTTAGGATTTTTCGTTATTTTGATTCCTTCGGTTATCTTCTGAAACTTCACATATTTCCTTGGATCCTTTGAATTTATGATTTATCTTTTTTTTTCTTTATCTTTTTTTAAATAAAGAAATATCAATGATTTTGCATTGTTTTGAAGTTATGAATTTATTTGTTCCAGTAACAAGTCAATGTCAATGATGGAAAATCTGAAAAGGCAGTTTTGGATTATTTTTCTAGATTTTTTCTCATATATTTTTTTTTTTTAGGGTTGTGCTTTATTTGGTTCAGGGTTATTTTTCATTGTCGAGTCTTCAGTTTCTTAAATTCAAGGTTTTGTTTCATCTTTTGTGTACCTGTTTCTTTTGATTGGTATTCTTGTGCTTCCCTATTATGGAGCAAGATGAAAAGTGATAAGGCATATCTACCGTGACTGTCTTCTCTATGATATTGTTTCTATTTCCATCAAACTCCCTCTCTCACACTCTCATGTGAGGTAGTTGCACTTTTGTGGGCAAGAATTGAACTTCTGTTTTTTTAGTAACAGGCCTTCTCAATGCTTTCACCAGATATTCCATGGGACAAGGGGAGTACATGGAGCACCTTGGCTGTATACATACTCACTCTTCACATTCCTCTAGGCTATGGAGGCCTATTTATGGTCAAGCAAATATTGCATCTCAATGACCTTAGCCCTCAAACCAAGGTAAGCTTGCAAACATAAAAGGGAAGTCTTCCTATGTGTCTCCATACATATATAATTTACACATATTTGAATACCCACAGATAGGATAGATAGGAGAGAGCTGACAACAATGTCACAGGTTGATGCGAACTGTGTTTGTCAAGTCATAATTAACACGTGATGTTGTTGTTAGCTCATTCTCAGCAGTCCGATCAAGGTAGGATGGCTGGATTTCTCCATACACAATTATATTGCGTGGATACATAGAAAGCTCGATGAATATAAAAGGCTAATATTTCAAAGATATGATACATTTTAGGAAATGGTAAGAGTTTTCTTGCTACCATAATATCAAAAGTTCTCATAGCTTTGTGAAAAAGCAGTTTGATCTTGATATGTAGAAGGATGCAAGAGATTAGATGGCACATATTACAAAGGAAAAAGAACCCCTTTTATTTTTTATTTTTTCCAAATTTAGATTGGAAAGATTGATTTTAACAATGCTTTTCATAGCCATCTTTTATTGCATTTGGGATGGATATTCAATTTCTTTATTCTTTCCATTTGTGATTGCGCAGGCGTTATCTTTGATTGTCACCCAAACTTTGGAGCTTCTTGGGGTTTGTGTAATTCTGAAATACACTGCAAATGGATGCTTTAAACTTTCCGACTTCTTTGAAGATTCAAAAGAAAGAGATTGGATAAAAGTATCTGCTTTGGGTTCTGGTTTCCTGATCTCATTAGCTTTGTTGACATCTCTCCTTGCTGACATAGTGGTAGGACCAAAGGTGAGTTCAAGCTCAATTGTGTGACAGTTCCTATTTTCTCTAGCTGATCCAAAAAATTATAAGAAAAGAAAACACAGGGATAATGCAAATAAGGAAATGGTGAAAAGGTGTTGAAAATTGATGAATGATACGAAGATATTGCAACTCTCAATTGTGGTTTTCATTTTAGGTGATCACTGATCAGTATTTCAGAAATTTTTTTTCCATGAGAAACAGTTGGGGTATACGGCAGAAAAAGTCAATTCCTGTACATTAAAGATTGTAGTAGTTTGTTTCATGCCCATAACAACTGATGCTCTACCTCTGTCTCCACAAAATGCAAGACACTTTCGTGTTCAAACTTTGCTTTGATTAGGAAATAAATGGCCAAATATTCAAAATGGGAATGTAGGCAAAACCCTCAATATAGTCATGCAAATGATTTTAGGTTTTCGTCCACTTTGTGCTACTGACTTTGCATATTTAAGAACAGGGAATTGTATATGTTTTTGCAGTTCTAATGTACATAGACTGTATATCTCTTCCCTGGGCACACTTGTTCATGGTTTTTGCATGTTCGACCACGAGGTGCACGACAGCCGTGTCAGACCCTTTAGAAATCTAGGTACATCTTCCTACGAGAGTACTTGGTATCATCTAACCCCCCACCCCCGGCGCTGCCACCTCCTCTTTAAATGATGTACCGACATATTGTGTTCGAAAGGATAATTTTAATATTGGTTTCTGATACGCTTATCTATGTTTGGGTAACATAAGCTCTTTCCACATAACCTCTCACCACTTTGATGGCCTATAGAACTAACGGATTGTCCATTTCTCTTTACTTTTATCTATAGCTTTATGGAAGGGAGTTTTAAAAGTGGCACGTTCTTCCTCTTAGTTGAGTTTTAGAGCTTTCAAAGGTTTTGATAGTTTTCTTGCCCGCACAGGCTGTAAATAATGACATGATGAAGGAGGTATTAGAAAGTGGCCCCATCTCTCTCTGTGCTTGCTTCCTAGTCTACTGTTTCATCACTCCTTTTTTGGAGGAAATTGTATACAGGGGTTTTCTTCTGAATTCTATTGCCTCAACAACAAATTGGACACAAGCAGTTGTGATCAGTGCATGTGCTTTTAGTGCAGTTCACTGCTCTATTGAGAATTCTCTACAACTCTTTATAATAGGATGTGTACTTGGTTGCTCTTATGTTTGGACCGGTAACTTGGCTTCTTCCTTTACCATCCATTCTTTGTATAATACTATAATTCTCTTAATAACTCTTCTTTCCTGAATATGTTGTTGCATGAGTTTGTGTGTGTGTGTGGCCTGGTAATCTAACTTACTTTTATGCTATGGATTCTTTGTTTAATGCAAGAAGAATGAGGCTTTTTTTAAGTTGAAGCTATTTCACACCTCAGAGCCTGCCGTAAAAACCGAATTTGTTGCCAAAAACCCCTTTGATGACTTGCAAATCCACCCTCTGACTATAGAATTTGAAGCGTTGAAAAAATGATGTAGATCAATAACAGCTGGAAGTAGATGGTGCAAAAAAAAGTGATGCAAGATGGATCATTTTTAGGCCTTAAAAAAGCGTTAATAATTTTTCTAGATTATAGTGAAGATGAATGACTAACAGGTTTTTAGATGCCAAGATTGTGTTTTCTGGCTAGATTTGAGGTGTGCCTATGTAAACCTACTCCTTCATGGAATAGGTTCATACAAAACTTCTTGATAACTCTGTTTTCTTTATTGTAATGTTGCATTACTGAATGTGAGGCATGTTCCACTCCCGAATTAATTGATTTGCATGGTTTTTCTTTCTAGTCATTGAAATTGCCTTTCTTGCGCGTGAGAGCTCTCGCTCATATTTTAACTTTTAAATATATTAAATCATCTCTTCTTTTTTATATTTTGACTGTCAAATCTTTTCACTTGAAAGTTTATTTGATTGGTTCTCTAAATTTAATGATGAAGTTGCCCAAAAAAATTACCCATCTCTTCTTAAAAATCTCTATTATGCTTTGTTCAAATTTTTGAGTTGAGAAAGTAATCTAATATGGTGAAGAAAAAAGAGTGAAAAAATTTACTAAGAAATCTAGAAATGACATTTATATGCTAATTATGCTTACTAAATATAGGAACTATACAAATAAGTTCTGTAAAAGTAATCATATTCAAATTATTCAATGTAAATGAGAAAATGTTAGACAAAATTAAACAATTACTAGAATAATACTTAATAGAAGAAAATAAAATGCATTTTTGATTTAATGTGAGTAAGATGTTGCTCATAGAATTAGAGCAAGGTGGATGAAGTGGAGATGTGTTTTTGAAGTTTTATATCATTGTCGCATACCAATAAAATTAAAAGAAAAGTTTTATAGGACAACTGTAAAATCAGTCATGCTTTATGGGTGTTTATGGTCAAGAAACAACTTATCCATAGAATGAGTATAGTTGATATGATGATTTTGAGATGGGTGAATGGCAAGATATGGATATAATTTAGAATGAACACATTCAAGGGGACTTAAGGGTTTCTTTAATAGAGATAAAATGAGGAAAAGTAGACTTAGGTGGTATGCTCATGGGCAATGTCGACTTAGAACAAAAGGCTTTAAAAAGGCAAGAGGAGGTCTTAAAATACATTGATTGAAGTATTGAGAAAATATATAATGATTTATGATCTAATTGAGGATATAACACTTGATAGAGTGGAATGATGGACCAAGATTCATGTAGCCGATTGTAACTAGTTGGGATAATGGTTGGATGATGATGATGTCAATATATTTGATTTAATGTTTCAAAAAATATCTTTCGTCTATTCTCTTTGTGCTAATGCATATGCTATTAGCTAATTAATGTGTGGGTGTGTGTGTGTTTGGTTGCAAGTTTCAACTAGTCTGGCCTTAGGTTTGGCCTCAACCCATCCCAATTAATTTTGCTTAGGCTACAACTCGAAAATTTGGATTTATGTTAGCCCCAACCCATACCTAAATCTAAAAATTTGGGCCTTGAAAAACCATCAAGATGTTCTCGGGCCACTATATATATATAGGGATTGAATACTATGAGATCATTTATCTTTCTTATAAGGAGGTCATAAATATTTACAACTGTTAGATATCAAATTGGATGGTTTGGAGTATATCACAAAGTTTGAGAATTTTTTTTTTTTAACTTCAAGTCTAGTCAATGAATTGTTTACAACTCCTCGATTTGAAATTTGAAAGATAAGAATAATTGTACGAGTATGTCTAGAGAGAGAGAGAGAAAGAGAGGCGTAGGTTGGATTAGGGTTGGCCCGGGCCTGAAAGTAAATTGGGCTTGCAGGGGCTCACTTGCGGGCCTTAATATATTGCAAAAGTCAATATATATTCTAGGTCAAACTAGGGTTGGCTAGGGGCCGAAAGTAATTTGGGCCCTGTAGGCCCCTTATTATGGGCCTTAGTCTATGGCCCCAGCTTGGTCCAAGCCAACTACCAGCCTTGTGTGAGTGAAAAAAAAATATACAAGCTGACTACCGTTATGGCATAGTATGGACTGGACGATCCAAGTTGGAGGAGAAAGCATTGAATGGCCAAATTTGCATATTAATTTCCATTCTTTTAATAAACTACACATTATATGAATAAAATTTTGTCGGAACATGTAGGTCTGATCTGGTGCCAAAAAAAAAAAAAAATTGTAGGTCAAAATTCATATCCATTTTTTATTTTTCAGATGATCATTTCTCATTCAGTCTGAGCCGTCCAACTTATGCTATAGGCTAACCAACTCATAAAATTATATGTGTGTACGCGTCTGATCAATGCCAACTTCGAAAAGTCTGGACTGCACTTGGAACTATAGGTTTGGCAATGGGCCTGAGTCCAAGCCAACTTTGGCTCCGGCCCACTGCTAGCCCATACCTAAACCAATTCTAGTCAAAACCCATGAGTATCAAACCCTACCTGCATCGGTTCAATTCGTTGTATGCTAAATAAAGGATTATGTTTTATGAAAACAAAATAAAACCTCACATCAAATCCTCGTTTAGAAAGCACTTTTGGTAATGAAAATCTACATGATGGATTTAAAATCAATTTTTAACACTAAAAATAAGATATAAAACTAAAAAAATATTGTAAATCTTGCGGATTTATGAACACTTATTTTTGGGATGAAATAGACATTCTAGATAATTTATTACAATTTACATTATTTATAGAGTTTAAAATCCTAATTATTTTTTTACAACTATAATGTTCAAGCCGAGAATCTAATATAAAAGTTGTGTGAACGTTCAAAAAAAAAGAAAAAAAAGATGATCGATATAAAATTTTTTCAATGCTTGAAGTGTAATTTTCGATAAGTGATCAAATCATTTTGTTAAAATAAAATAAAATAAAATAAAATAAAAAAGAGGTTGGAGATAGAACAAAGCGAATCCCAACTATTTTTGGCAAGAAGCTAAAACCTTTTCCGCAAATGGCAAAAATCTAGGGCGAGGTCCACGTCATCTTAACAATCACACGTGGCATCATAACTGAAGCCAAAAAACTGACACGTCACCTGGTCTATAAAAACTTTGAAAGTCCTTTTTTGGTTTTTGAAATAAGCTATAAATTTCATAGAGATAGTACCATGGAATAGCCGAAATTTTGCTATTGATGCTGCTGAAATTTCGGCAAAATGCTGGCTGTTTTTGAGGAATCGATCGGGAAAGCACCGGAAGAGCTGAGAGTTCCCGCAATATGGCCGGAAAAGTCCAAGAACAGGCCGGAAATCCAAGAGATGTTTAGTAATTTATGGCCGGATTCCATTTTCTACAGTCACTTGGGTGGCCAGTTCATGGCCTTTTTGCGGAGGGAGAGGCCTGAATTAAGGTATTTTATGTGTTATTATATATGTGTTGCCTAAATTTGCCTCCTTTTTTTTAAGGCGATGTTGTTTAAGCTGTGGACCTCATACTATTAAAGTGCAGCTCATAACTATGTCTGAAAGATGCAGTTTAGGTGCCAGAAAGCCTCTTGCGATAGCATCAAAATCTATTGCCGTACTTAGTTATGATTAAAATTCAAAATTTCGTGTGATGATCATTTATAAGTACTTGAAAATTATAAAAATAAATGAAATGATGTGGCAATCATTTTTAGGACTTTAAAATCCTTTTCTTTTATATATACACGAATGTCGATGTCAAGATGATCGATTGAAAGGTTGGCCAGCATGGGAATGATCTTATCGAGTAGACTTCTTCGGTAAACCTTATGTTTACTGTGTAGGATTGGAACCTTATATAATTTTTATTTTTGGCAAGTCAAAATTCCATAAAATTTGGAAACCGTTATATGTTTCATGTATCTTTACACATCAAGAGAGAGAAAAGGGTGGGGTCACTGTGCTAGCATCCCTACACCCTAGTCTTGTGGTTTCTATACCTATTGATACCACCCCACGAACGTCCCAAGTAAGTCTTCAAAAAAACTAACTCCCAAATTATATGAAAAAACAGGTTGGGCTTATATTCCCTACGAAATTAACCAAAACAATTTGTTCTCAACTAAAAACACACTTTTCATCGTATCAAATCAATCGTGATATTTTTGTCAACTTACTCCTAACCATTTGATCAAGATCTTGTTCAAGTCACTTTTGCCTTTGACATATATATAATTTATACGGGCATTGAAATCTCTCCTTTTTAAGAAAAAACAAATGGTGAAATGCATCTTTTGGGTTTTTTTTGTTGTTGTAATTTTAGAAAATGAGAAAATGAAAGGGGATTTAGACTTAAGGTAAATAAACCAAGAGCAAGTCTAAGTGAATTTTTTTTTTGGGGTGATTTAGTAGGGGAAGATAGGCCTTTTGTTTCATATTAGGGAGTTAGCTTTATTTATTTATTTATTTTTATTTTATAAAGGTGTCGGTGGTGGAAATCACAACGTAACTAGCTTTGGGGTGCTATCTCCATAACCCATGTGATTGAAGGCATTGCTCAATTATAAGGCACTGATTGCAAATATTTCCCATCATAAAAAGCACAATCAGTTTTCACAACTAATGAAGAAAAGGTGGGGGGCATAAACTACTTGTTCAAACTAAAAGACCACAAAAACAAGTCCCCTTAGGATAGGACAGAGAATTTACTTGATCTGGGTACCGATCCAAGATTTGGATATGAAATTTGGACCTGGATCTAAACTTTGGATTCAAATTCATATCAAATCCAGGTACAGGTGGATCTGATTTGGATCCGACTCAGTTATTAAAATAGTTTGTAATATTGTATATATGTTATATTTATTAATTTATATATGTAATGTATATAATACTTTTAACTTTTAAAGACCTAATCCTGGATCGAATTGTGGAATTGATCGGATTCGGATCCTATGAATAGGTTTAGGATCCGAATCCAGATCCAAACATTATGAATTCGATTGGATCTAGACCCTAACCAGAAAATTATCAGCCCTATATTAGGAATCAATTGCTCTTGTTATTGTTGATATGGGCTCCACCAACCCTAATTGTTCCAATTTACATCATATTGATTATCACATGTCTATCATCCCTCTATCCTTATTTTGGTTATTGAACTCTCCAACAGGTCAATTGTGGTGAAGGAAGATGTGTTTTGTGTCTTCATGGGAAGCCTAGACAACCTTTGTGATATTAGGAGACACTATGGCCTCTCTAGACACATCTATGAAGCATTGCTTGTGGTGGAGCTTTATAGTGTTTATCAAGAAAGAGCACCTTACCCTATTGATCAAGTTGTTGGGGATCTAGTGGGAAAATTCGCATTCATTTTATTTGACACAAAGAAAGGCACCCTTTTTGTGGCTAGAGTAAGTTTTCTAGTTGTATAAAGGTTACAATTATCTCCAGCTATTGGATGTGAAATTGGGCGGCTAGAGGCATGTCACTAACGTTCGACTTGTTGGTGAAAAATACTGCCCTTGAAGTATGAGAAACCTTTCTTTAAAGTTGTTGGGGAAAAATAACACACCCTGACAGTGCAATTTTACTTGTGATAGTTTGGGGTATTTGTGACTTTTGTATACGAAAACTAGTTGTTTGATTCTATAACTTCATATACTTTTATTGGAAAGTGTATGATAAGACATTATTTTTGGTAGAAAATGGTCACAATCATTTCTAGCTGTAAAATATATCATAATCACCTCTAATCCTAAAATTGGGTGGCTGAGGATATACCATTAGTAGCTCTTGAAGTCCATAGAACTTTTATCCTGGCTTTGTGTAGAGAAATGATAAACCCTAGTTATTTATATCTATATCGATGGCTTGGGTTGTTTGTGACTTTCATATATAAAAAGTAATGATCTTATTGTATGAAATCCTTGTTTTTATCTTCTTGATGTGTAATGTCATTTTCATATGAAATGCATAATAATGATATAGAATGCTTGGGCTTGAAACGATAGTACTTGGGTTTTCTAGAAGTTTTACTAGGTTTTTAACAATTGCAATTGGAATGTAGGATCGTGGTGGTGCAGCAAATTTAAATTGGGGAGTTTGCAAAGATCAATCACTAGTTTTCTCGGATCAATCTGATACTATACTTAAGGTTTGTGAGAACTCTTGGGCTCCATTCCCAGCAGGTAATTGGATTGACCTAATGTCATGGTTGATTTATTGTTTTATGTTGTTTAGTAGTATCTATTGTAAAGTTATCTAAGATAAACTTATATAGGCAGTTTTACATATAAGTTTATATTTTTTAAAGGATGCTTTCAATTTATTCAAAGTAATTTGTTGTAAATCATATATTTTTCATAAATGGCTAAAAATAAAATAAAAATAGCACATATATATAAATAAATGATCCTACAAGACCCTCCCTCATCCATATGTGTAGGACTACAAAGGATCACCATTAAATTTGGTACGGATCTATAGAAAAGTCAAGTCTCACACCCATGTGATAACTTTTCTAGAGATCCGTATCAATTTT